CCCTCCTACCTGCCGCAGCACGAGGTGCGCCTGGCTGTGAAAGCCGCCTTCGAACTCTGGAGCAACGTGTCCTCACTGGTGTTCTGGGAGGCCCGGGACGGCCCGGCTGACATCCGCCTGACCTTCTTCCATGGAGATCACAACGATGGACTCAACAACGCCTTCGATGGACCAGGTGCTGGTCGCTTCCCCCTCGTAAGCTTCTCCTTTACAACGTGGGCTCTTCCTCGGCGGGGAGGAGGGCTGGGGTGGCCATGGGCTGAGGGTGATGGAGGCGAGGCTCTGCCCTGGCAGTCCCTCCAACCAAGGACACCTCCCATTTTGCACCACTTTGCTTTCTGATTTGGGGTCCTTGCTCCCAGCTCTGCAACTGGGGTCTGCTAGCAAGGCAGTTGAGATGCTCCTTCTCGGATCATGCCAGTGGCCTTCAAGGAGGTCTCCCCACCCTGACCGCGTCCTCCAAACCCGAGCTCGTTCCTGAGCCTTTCTGCTCTCAGTCTTTCTCTCTTCTTGAGCCTTTGCCCACTGGGTCACCACGGTGGCTTCAGTCCCCAGCCCGAGCCCGGGGCAAGAAACCGAACTCATAAACCACAGAGCAGATCAACCCCATGAGCAGAACTCATTTGGGCTGCCAAATAGTCACGGGAAGCTGCTGTTCTTTCCCCTAAAGAGCTAAAATCGACGCGTATTTCAGCAAACCAGAGCTGCGTGCCCGCCCCAACCCCTCACCTTGCAGCTGAGGTCCTCTCCTGCCCTACGGTCCCTGACGTCTCTCGTGTCCCCAGGAGGTGCCCTGGCTCATGCCTTCTTCCCCCGGCGCGGGGAAGCCCACTTCGACAGCGCCGAGCGCTGGTCCCTGCGCAGCGGCAAAGGGCGCAACCTCTTCATCGTGGTGGCACACGAGGTCGGCCACACGCTGGGGCTGGAGCACTCCCCCGTCAAGAGCGCCCTGATGTCTCCCTACTACAAGAAGCTCAGCAAGGATTTTGTCCTCAACTGGGATGACATCTTGGCCATCCAGAACTTGTATGGTGAGCTTGGCTTCCCCGGGTGTCCCTTGGTTTCTCCAGGGTTGTTTCCAGGGATGGAGAGCGAGGAGCAGGGATGGGAGCAGGTCCCTGCAAGGGGAGAGGACGACATGCAAGGTGCAGGGTGGGGATGGGCCCCATCCCTTTGTGGCTGGGGAGGAAGATGGGACAGGGCATGTGGGATGGGTACTAGGTCCTCCAGGGCAGGGCAGGTGGGATTTGCTGCCTGCTTGTTTGCAACCAGGGAAAAGCTGGTGCATGTTTTTTGGGAGGTACCAAGGGGTCTTTGCCACCACCTTATAGAGGGGGACAGGAACCAGAGAGTGGGACAAGGAATATTTGAAGCCCTGGGACGACTCCCCAGCCCTGTGCTCATGCCCCATTTCCCCTCCCCTTCTCCGTGACTCACCACCCCTTGCTCCATCCCAGGGAAGCCCTCCAAGGGCTCGGCTGTCCAGCTCCCGGGAAAGGTCTTCACTCACTTCCAGGCCTGGAGCACGGACCTTTACGGTGGGGACCAGCAGCAGAGGAGCCTCAGCACTTATTACTGCCACTCCTTCTTCGACGCCATAACTGCTGGTGGGTGTTGGATGGTGCAGCCCTCTCCCAAAACATGTGCCCCTACCCCTTGCCCTTGCTCTGATCAGCTCCAGTGGTGGGAAAGGTGGGTTTGGCTGGTCCACAGCCCTGTATGTGCTCCCGGAGCTAGTGGCATCACTGATGCACATCACTGCCGCAGAGTGAAGCGCGTCGTGGGGACATGGCGATGGCTCGATGTGTTAGGAGAGGGGGAAACATCCCAAAACTTGGGCTGTGGCACGGCTTCTTTGCTGCAGGAGCTCAACCGTGAAAGACAAGCCTTGAGAGGGAGCTGTGGTCAGCTTTTATCTCCAGGCTGGAGCAGAGGCAATGAATTGTGAAAGCTGAGGGGGCAGCTGGAAAGGCAGGAGGGAGCCTCCAAAACCGGAGCGTCTCCAAAGGACCACAGATCTGTGCGGGGAGGGGAACTGGGGAGTGGTGGCTGGGAAGTGGGATGAAGTTTCTCACCTGGGACCCCCCCTCGCTCCTCCCTGTACCCTACAGACATGGATCACAACCTCTACATCTTCAAGGGCAGCCACTACTGGGTGGGGCCGGCAAGCGGCAATGCCCGGGACC